TCTTGGTGCTAATTTCACATGGAGGTTTGCTCTGTCCGGGGAGGGAAGCAGGGCTTCGCCAGGGGACTCTGATAAGGAGATCTGCAGGCTGGGGTTGGTGGTCGCACTGACCAAGGTTTCAGAAATCAGACGCGGAGCAGCACAGTGCAGCCCGGGGCAACGTCTTAGCCCTGGAGGACGGGGTTCTCACCTCGCCAGTGGAGCCTGAGGGAGGACCTGGACGGCTGTGGTCAGCCAGGACTGGGAAGCCTCTCTGGGGCCCACGAAACCTGTGCAGAAAAACCACTGATGGAAACCTTTGTGACTTCCTTGTGGATCACAGGTGGTGCTGCTGTGGTTCAGGTCCGTGTTGTCCCCAAAGCCCCATGGGTTGAAGGCATGGCCACCAGCCTGTGGCACTCTTGGGAGCTGGTGGAACCTTTAGGAGGTGCAGCCTAGAGGGAGGAGGCAGGTCACCAGGCGTGTGCCCCTGATGGGAGCTAGGGACCCCAGCCTGTCTCCCTCCATGCCCCACCCCTCTATTCTCTCTTTGGCCACCAGGAAATGAAGAGGCTCCTCCTCTGTGCATTTGCACCATGACGTTCTGTGCCACCACAGACCCAAAGCCACAGGGCCACGTGGCCATGGACAACAGGCTCTAAAGCTGGGAGCTTTCCTCTAGAAGTTGGCCATCCTGGGCCTTCTGCACAGCAGAGGGGGCTGGCCGTCTGACAGGCGGTACTCTAGGGGAGCTGGGGCCTGACCCGAAGCGCCTCCCCAGACACCTCCTCTTTGCACAGCGGCGGGTTCCCACGTTCTCTTATAGGCCACAGACCTGGTGCTGGGGAAGGTAAGCTTTCTCTGAGCCCATCTCTTCCAACTCACCACATTCAGTGTGTCCCTTGGGGATGGCACAGCCACCTGCCCTGTAGCCGGGCACAGCTGCACACTGATCACTGAGGTGATGTCACCAATCCAGTCTCCCACTGGGGAAGATGAGAACACAATGAGTGTGAGCTGGATCGCTGGCCAGTGAAGTGGCAGCTCAGAAGAAAGCCCTTCCTGCAGTGGACACCGTCTCAGGAAAGAGAGCACCAACTGGGAGGGCATGGCCGAACCCAAGCAAGGATGCCAAGGGCAAGAGGAGAAACTCTCCTAACACATAAATTATGAAAGATAAAAGCACAAAATCCATCAAAGAAAGATTGAATAGCAAGAGGAGAGCTGGTGGCGGTGCCTGTGGAGACGTCTGTAGTGAGGGATATTGAAAGAGGCAGCCTCTCGGCCACATTCTGGTGACGAATCTGCATTTCCAGTACACAGAACCATCCTACTTGATCTCAGTAAATGAGATTTTTAGAATGAAAGACATTGAAAATTATTTTTGTTGTTAAACTTCTCATTGACAATACAAAAATGAAAAGCCATGATTTTTATCAGGCTCTGAGGAAAAAATGGGGACCTTGGAACTCTGTTCCTAACCTATTCATTGTTCATGTGGAAGGCCCAGGGAGTTTTCAACTATGAAGCACTCAGTAAATACGCCACGGTTGCTCTCCTTAGGAAAAGATCATTCAAGAGAGTGGAAAAGCAGAAACAGAAACAATTCATAGTAAAGGTGTCTACCAGAGGGGAGTCAGGACCTGCAGGGAACGGTGTGAGCGAGTTATGACAATGCAATTCTAAAGGAAGAGTTCTTAACAAGGAAGGCCAGTCTGCAGGTGAAGGTCAGATATTTCTCAGATTCTAGGAGCAGGGCAGGCAGCATGAGGAAGTGAGAGAGTGACAAAGACCTTGTCTTTCCAAGAGACGCGGTTTAAGTAGAAAGATGGGCTTTGTTGTAATTAAGTTGTAACAAACAGATAAAGGATTGTGTTAGTCAGTTTTGTGTTGTGCGGCCAAAATGTCTGCCAAGAGCAACCAGGAGAAGGAGAGATTTATTTTGGCTCATGGTTTCAGGGTCAAGCCCACGTCAGTTGGCTCCATTGCTCTGGGTCTAAGGTGAGGCGGAAGGGCATGGTGGAGGAAAGCTGTCAGGTCACGGCAGAGAGAGAGAGAGACAGACAGACAGAGACAGAGGAGATACACCCTTGGAGGGCACGCCCCAGTGACCTACTTCCTCCAACTAGGTCCCCACTTTAGCTCTCCACTCAAACACTGAACAGTTCAGACCCCTATGATCCATCCACCTCCGAAAATCCCAGCTCTGAGCTCATGAGACTCTGAGAGACATTCTAGATCAAAACTCTAACAAGGATGGAATTTTTTTTTATAAAACCCTAGGAATAAACAAGCAAAGATCTATATTAAAAAACAAAATAAAACAATAACTTTGTAATTCATTAAAAGTTAAGAAAGGGTAAAAAAAAAGTGATAAAAAACAGCAAATGGGAAGTACCAAAGCTGTACTCATAATAAATGCAAATTAGATAAGTTGTCTCATTTAAAGAAAAAGATTTTCATCCTGGTTACAAAAAACTAAAAGTTCCAGCTATTTGTCTAGACTCTTAGAGACCCATCCAAAGCACAAGAAGTTGTCCATAAAGAGCGGGCAAAAGTGTGAGTCAAAGGCATACATGGGTGTGTATGGTGTATTCGTGTGTGCATTCTATTTGGAATTTAAGGCAAAAAATCATTAAAAGGGATAGAAAAGTATTTTTATGTTATTGGAAGGTAGGGTCCAAAAGCATTTTACACATTGATCTTCACATCCTGAACATAGCTGTCTAATGTAGAAAGTGCAATGAAAACTATAAAAACTTGGTGAAATCTTGTCATCACGATCGGTGCTGACCCCTTGTTCTCAGGATTGGCTGGACCAAGTGCAAGAAATGACGCAAGCACTTGACAGACCATTAGCAAGCACACAGAAACAGGGTGTGTGGGATTTAGTTAATTAATTCTACCAGGTTCCACTGAGCACCTGCTCTTTGTTCTGTACAGTGAGTGAATAACAGTGAGTGAGACAGGAACATCTCTGAATCTTGGGGAGCTCCGTCCGGCAATGGGCTGTGTTGGCCAGATCCATCACATGGCTGCCTGGCACTTGCAGGGAAGATGGGATGTGGAATTTCTGGTGCTGTGGCTGGGGCTGGCTGTGTAATTCTCAGAACTGGTGCCCAATGAAAACTCCAGGTCCTCTTGCTCAAAAGGTCCCTTTCTCACCTGCCCTTGAGTTTTTTATTTTCTGATTAATGCCATTCATGCTGCCTTGGATTGGATGCTCGTGAGGTCGGTGCAGACGCAGGTGCTGGGCTCTTCCACCTGACTCTGCACAGGGGGCGCCTGCCCAAACCTTACTGCACTTGTGCCTCGGTGCTCGGTGCGGGTGACTGGGTGGAGGAGGCATAGGGGAGAAGGTGCTGAGAATCGGTGCTGGGGTGCATGGGGTGCGTGGGGTGATGAGGGAAAGCAGGCTAGCAGGTGGGCAGGGGCTCTGCACCCCGCACAGTCCCACTGAACTCATGACCCACCACTGAGATTTTTCAGACACCAGCCACGGAGGATTGAGCCAGGACTGGGCCTCGTGCTCAGCTTCAGAGTCTCCCTAGTGCAGCCTGAGGACGGGGAGGGAACTGGAAACAGTTGTCAGATCTGCCAACCCGAGGTTTCTGGAAGGGAGGAGAGGCATTTTATCACCAAGTTTCCAGCAGGAAGCGCAGCTGCTAAGCGGAGCAGCGCAGGGAGCTCCAGATTTGTTCACTCTGGCGCTAACCCAGAGGCTCCACGACCCCAGGCGTCGGCCCCACGTTGAGCAGATGGCGCCAGCAATGTCATCACACTGCTCTGTGATTTCTGCCTTTCCCGTCCCATTTGCAGTCACAACTGAGGGGCAGATGGAAGGTTAATTTTGCACAGTCAATTTAGGAGGAAATACAAACAAGCACACAAAACCTCCCTATTGGTATGATATTTGGAAATTTCTTGCACTAGCAAAAAATGCAATTGTTGTCAATCCAAAAGTATGTTCAAGAAAATATTCATGTGTGTGAGCAAGTCCTTTCAAAATCCCCCAGTGTAACTTCACCTCTGTCATGCAGTCCCCTCCAAGTCTTCATTGCTGTGACTGCTGTCATTCTGGGATTTCATCAACGTTTTTGGTTTATTTTTTTCCTGACCTACCGCTATGTTCCCAGTACCTAGAACAGGGCCTGATACATAATAAAGTTAATAAGTATTTGCTGAATGCATACCTAAATTTAATAAGAATTATTACTCAGATTTTATAAGGTAACATATTCCTAGTAAGTAAAATCAAAATAGTGGGGTTGATGTTTCAGATAACTCATTTACGATTTGTAGAATTGTTTTTCTTTCCCCTTCTGTTTTGTAATGGGTGAGTTTCATTTATTTTTCAAGTTGCTTAAACATGGAATTTATTATGAATTTTTGTTGGTTTCCATACAGGGCTGGGATGACAATACTGCTTCCAGTAGTGAAGGGTGTCAGGTCAGGCCTCTCTGACACTTGTTCAAAGGCCCTGGTTTGGGTTCCAGCTGAGAGCTGGAGGCTGCGCTGCAGTCTGAGGCTCAGGTACCTTTGCTCCAGCCCCCAACAGTGCCTCCCCTAGACGGTGGCTGGCAGGTCACCAGGAAGAACGTGGGCCACACACTCTTCTCAGCATGTCATCTGAGATTAATATGAGTAAGAGAATGGGTTCATTGCTAAGCCTAGGGTGCTATCTGTTAGCCCAAAGCCAACAACAGATGCCACTGCAAACATTCCATGCAGGGTGCACAACATGGGGGTGCAAACAAAGCCACCCTTATGGAGAAACCCTAGAGGCTGTGCCAAGGACCTCCCGTCCCTGCTGTGGCTAATAGAGACACATTTATCCTGAGATCCGGTCTGCTTTGTCCACTGCTGCCCATGGGTCTCTGGATGCATGTAACGGGCCTCCTCTGGACCCAGTGGGTGGAACAATTCCTCTTCCCTTTAGTTACACCCAGATCCAACTGCATCAATCCCCAAATGTCCTGGCACCTAAATATGAATGCTGATCTTGCTTTCTCTTTCAGATCCCTGTATTGGTCTGACCTCCAAGAAGCAAGTTCAAGGTGGCCTTAGCATGCAAAAGATTCACTAGAAGAAACCCCTGTGAAGAATAAGGAGTGAGGCCAAGAGCCAGGAAGGGGAGTCTGAAGACCTGACCTATGGAAGGGGAGAAGGAAGGGAGGAAGGCGGCAAGGGGAGGAGTCCCCGGCCCCAGTGCCATTCTGGCAATGGCTTGTCCAGGCCAATGGACTCTGGACCCAAATCTGTGTAAGAGTTGCAAATCTGGCGGGGACGGCCCTGCATTGATAACACCAGAGGTTCTCAGGCCTTGACAGCAGCCTGTAGCAAGCGTGGCCTCTTTAAGAACACTGCGTGGATCCAGAGAGGAGGTGTCCAGTGCTGCAAGCCAGCTGTGCTCCCTGCAGCAGGAGGTCTCCCGGCTCATTTCTGTGGCCGCCACAACCCTCTTGCATCCTGACTTCGATAGAGCCATCTCAGTCCACAGGCAGCTTTGAGATCTTGGAAGCTTGCAGGCTCCTTATAAAGAGGTTGTATAGTTACATACACTTTTGGAAGGCATAGTGGGCAGATGCCAAGTGGGGCTGGCATGACCCCACCTCCTGGTATTCACACTATCGCGTGATCTCCTCTGGGTTGTAGGCTAGACTTACTTCTGCCTGATAAAATTCGGCTAAAGTGATAGGATGCCACTTTGGGGACTAGTTTAGTAGAGATTGTAACTTTTGTCTTGCTGTCAATATTGCTCTAATAAAATCTTCCTTGCCGGCTTTGAGGAAAAGCCATATGCTAAGAGCCATGTAACCAGGACCTGAAGCAGCTTCCAGCCAATAGCCAGTGAGAAATAGAGCTCCCAACAGCAAGGAGTCGATCCTGCCAGTGATGTGCCCCCTTGAGTGGGTCCTGCACCATCCAGCCTTCTGATGAAGCCCCAGCCCTGGTCAGCACCTGACTGAAGACGTGTGATACCTCGTGCAGAGGATGCAGCAAAGCTGTCCCCAGACCTTTGACCCAGGAGCTCATAAATGCATGTTGCTTTAAACTACTAAATCTGTGATCATTTGTTACACAGCGATGGAGGCCTAGAGAGAGGCTGAGTCTACCTGTGACCACGAGCGGTTAGACCCTGCATTCCCTGGACAGATTGGAGGAGGATTATCAGACCTTCTGTCTAAAAGTAGGAGTCCCAGGCCTGATTCTAACAAGCACATTAGTAGGCAGCACAGAGTTAACTGCTGACTGTGTGAGCTACAGGTGCAGGACACCCTGGAGTTCAAGGAGCAAGTACATGATGCAACCAGGAGTCAGTTAAGTCCTGTGTGGACTCTGCATTTGTTAGTCATGCACACGTTCAGTGAAGGAGGACAGGCCTCCCCTCAAGTGAGTGCACAGAGACAGCAGAGTTGACGTTTGTCAGCAAGGCTGAAGAAACAGAACAGGCCAGACTCCTTGTGATCTGAGTCAGGGAGAGAGACTTACAGAGTTGATTCACACACACAGGAACCAGAAGGCACAGGGCTTTCAGGTGAGGATTTAAAAAGAAATGTGCTGAGCTAATGAAGTTAGGGTGGGAGGTGGGAATCCGATTAAAGACATCAAGCAGAGTAATCAGATCGGAGAAGCAGACCACCAGATTACACAGTGTTGATCACTGGTTGAGACTAGAGGGGAACTGGTATTATTTGTAAAATGGTATTTTGATTTTTATCAAAGTCCTTTACTCACTGAAGGTAAACTAAAATAGAAGAAGGATAATTAGGGAAAACCAGGTTAAAAGTCTAAAAAAATTTTTTTTTTGGTTGAAATGGAGTCTTATAGGAAATTTTTAATCAGAAAAATATCCATTTCTCAGTTCATAACGGCAAAAGAAGGCTGGACATAAATAATGGTGGTAAATATAAATTTGCTAAGTGACAATATGTTAATTACAGATCCATATTTAGCCAAAAAGAAAAAACTGAAAATACAGAAAATCACCTTAAAAATAGAAGCTGAGAAAAGGGAAGGTAGAAAAACCACTGGAGGGCATCTCCGTGACCCTTTAGTGACTTCAGAGGAGACAAGAAATTTTGGTATCAAACTTTCTATAACAAGAAGTAAAAATTAATGCCTGTATTTACCTATTTAGACCCAGAATGGAAACAGGTTCCTGGACAAAGCAGAGAGCAGCAACCTCCCTGGGAGCCCCCTGTTCTGGGAGGCGTGGGCCCAGGGACCCCTGGCCGCCATGCAGTGACCACTCCCCTGACAGGCTGCCAACAGGCCCCTAGGGAGGCAATGCTTCCCTGCATGTGGAAGACTTGGGTTCAAGGTCCAGGCAGGTTAAGGAATCCGCCCTGTGATTCACAGTGAGAAAATGGCACAGCCAGTGTGTGCAGCCCTGGTGGAGAAGGGTACCAGGTCTTCCCGGGCTGACCTGTGCCCTGCCCAAATTCATACGTGGAAACCCCATCCTCCAGGACTTCAGAATATGACTCTATTTGAAGATGAGTCTTGAGAAAGGTGGGTAGGTTAAAGGAGGCCACTAGGGCGGGTCCTGATCCAATATGACTGCTGTCCTTATGAGAAGAGAGAGTTTGGACACACCTGAAGACAGCCAGGGTGTGCACACACAGAGAAGGGCCGGGTGTGGACACAGCAAGAAGGCAGCTGCCTGCAAGCTGAGGAGATTCCAGGGGAATCGAACCTTCAGCACCTTGATCTTGGACTTCCTGCATAAGGAACTGTGAGAAAATAAATTTCTGTTATTTAAGCCACTCAGTCTGGGGTTTGTTGTTATAGCAACCCAAGCAAACTCATACAGTATTCTATGTTGAAAAAAGAAATGTATCACTAGGTATTCATTTAATGTCCCTGTTGATGGAAGATGACTGGCACAGCAGTTTGGGAATCAGACAGTTCTCCAGGAGACTCACAGAAGATCTGCAGAGATCAGGGGCTGCCCCGGGGCCGAGCATGTCTGAGGTTCCTCTTCTCCACCCTTCTCCACCCCCAGCTTCCCCACAGCCTCCCCCGTACAAAGGTGATGCCAATGCAGAGGGATGTTTGATGTGTAGGTGGGTTAGGTTACACTGCAGCCTGAGATTGGTTTAGGCAGGGTTGGAAATATTTTAAAGGTTAATCCTGTTGGCCAAAACAGAATAATTTGATTCTACAGAATCAGAAAATCCACACTGATGAGCAGACAAATGTCTGTGTCAGGCTGATACTTGGACATGCGAAGGTGGCACAGAGGAAGAGACTCAGATTTGATGGTGAGAGGGTGGGGCCTGGGGGGAGATGGAAAATTTCTGGAAAGTCAGGGTGGGGATCCTGGGGAAGGGCGCAGGATAGGAATAGGGGTGCATGGGTCTTCCTGCGTGGTACTATCCCTCATGCGGCTGCCTGCCTGTGCTCTGATTGTAAAGTGACGTGGGGGGGTCTGGCGGGCATGCTTTGTTCTGCCCATGGGACAGGTGCCCACGTGTGCCTCACGTGTCCTGTGTCTTTGGCACGGAGGAACCACAGACCCAAGAAACCCAGGAGCAGGCAGCTTGGACATTTAAGCTGTCCCTCAGGGAGTGCGGAGCCCTCCAGAGGCCACGAGGGTGGAATCTGCAGGTGTCAGCCTTCCCAGCAGGGCTGAGCTCGGTTTCTGCAGACTCCAGAACAGGGAGAAGTTATGTCTTTTATTATTAACTTGAGGTCTCTTTAGAATAAGACTGTGGCTTTGGTTTAAAACAAGACACTGCGGCCTGTCTAGACTGTTCCAGGTCTCCCAGGAAACGTGAGCTTGTGCCAGTGACGCATGCGCGGCCACACCACACTCCGCCTGGGTGTCCCTGGCCAGGAGAGAATGCAGTTGATGTTCTGCCATCACGAGGCATGGACGTGGGGTCTCTTTCCTAATAACTGTGGCAGGTTACCCTGATCCGTGTGGAAGCATCTGTTCCCTATTAAGCAACAGGGGCTGTGTCTTCTGGGTGGGGCCACTGTGTCCATAGAATGACGAGTGGAGGGACCTGGCAAGGGTGCAGAATTCCTCTCTGGGAGAAAACTGCTCTTTGATTAGGCAAAGAGCCACAGCAGGCATGAGCTGAGGGTCCCTGTGCTTTGCCTCAAGGCGAGAGGGTTACGTACAGTGAGAATAGCCTGCATGGGCGGCTGGGGCTCAGGCAGGAGTGTGGCTCCAGTGGGACAGCAGAGGTGCAGGGACAGAAGACGTCTCCCCACACCTGCAGGACCTCCAGGTGGGGAGCAGCAGAGGTGCAGGGATGGAGGAGGCCTCCCCACCCTGCAGGACCCGGCTGTGAGAAACTCCTTCACTTGTGAAGAGGAACGAGACTCCTGCAGTGTTGGGGTCTGGCGTCCAACTTGAAGGTTTTCTCCTGTACCTGCAGCACCTCGGAGTCTTGGGTGGCCACTGGCCCTTTGGCAGAATGGAGTTGGGGGTGAAGGGTAGCAGGATTCCAGGTGATGACCAGAGCGAGGCCTCAGCAGGGAGCAGCTTAGGTGGCTGAGGAGGGCACATGAGCCTCCAGCTCTGCCAACCGCTGCAGATCTGTGGTCTCGCGGGCTCCTGTGCGTGGGCTGGAACTGGAGCCATGTGGACCTCCAGGGCAGATGATCCCTGGAAGGCTGGAGGGACTTGGGCCAGCAGAGCAGAACAGCCAGGCTCAGGCGTGTTCTTGTGGAGACATACAGAGGACAGGGGACATTCAGAAAATGGGTCACGAAGGGCACCAGCTAGGGGAAGAACGGGAGGAAGGGTGTTTCAGGCAGAGGGTGGAGCAAAGGTGAAGGGCCCGGGCAAGAAAGCCTGGTAGTTTAGGGACTAGGAGAGGGGAGGCAGGGGAGGCAGAGGCTGGGAGGCTGGGAGGCTGGCTGGAGAGGCCGGGAGGGAGGGAAGTGGGACTGGAGCAGGAGTGGGGTCTGTGTGTGCTGTAGAGGGTGGTGGGCAGGACACAGCATGGGGAGGTCACTCTGGAGCAGGAAGGCGGGAGGCTGTGAGGTGCAGCAGGAAGCAGAAGGAGCTCTGCCCCTGGGTTTCTCTCTTCCGTGGAGTGGGAGGTGAGGTGTCTATGGAGGACAAGCGGAGGAGGCAATGGAGGAGAGACCCAGAGAGGCAAGGGGCAGGGCATCCCGGCCACGTGGAGGTCAGAGTCCACCACTGCCACTGTAGAATAAGGGAGAGGGGGCTGCGGATCCCTTTGGCAGTGAGCAGGCAGGGGAAGAGGCAGGAGGGCCAAGGCTGGTGAGTCAAGGAGAGAGGGCTCAGGAGCCAGGTCTGCATTCGGGAGAAGGGGTTCTGGGGCACTGGACTGCACCCTCCAGACGTGCCTGGAGAGATGGCCCAGGGAAGGGAAGCCACAGGAAGGAAGAGACGTCCAGGACATTCCACAAGGCCTGGGTTGGCTCCCCAGGGGCGAGGCTGAAGGTAGAGGAGCTCTGGGGTCCAATTTGGCATGGGCTGATGGGGCTGGGAAGTGGGAGACTTCCTGGGCAGAGTGAGAACCTGCAGCGAGAAGCCAGACGAGGGTGGAGGGGAGCGCTAGCCGGACAGACTCCCGCCCAGGGGGGCCCCTGACCCAGCAGCTGCAGCCTCCCTCGATGCAGTGGCCAGCACAGATGACGTGCCCTTTGCAGTGCCCCAGGCCCCAGGTGGGAGGGCTAGCAGGATTCCCAGTGGCATGCCCCTGCTCCTGAGTGGAGGGGTGGCTAGCCAGGAAGGGGGCTTGGCGAGGGTCAGGGTGCAGGCCCCATCTGCTCCCCCTTGCTCCTGGCAATGGGCACAACCAGTGTCTGCTGCTGTTTTCCTGGGGCTCGCTGCTGACCAGCACCGAGAAGTCATAGACTGGATAAGTCACAGACTGGATATTGTCCATCTGTTTTCCAGGGACTGGCACCCGCTGGATCAACCCTCCTCAGCACACAAGGTGTATCTTTTATGTTTTAATTAGCTTTTTCACTGCTTTGACCAAAAGATCAGACAAAAACAATTTTAGAAGAGTTAAAGTTTATTTGGTTTTTACTGTTGCAGGGGTCTCTGTCCATAGGTGGCCAGCTCCATTGCTCTGGGCTGAAGGTGAAAAGTATCATGGTGGAAAGATGTGCTGGAGGACAGCAGCTTAGGACGTGGCCACCAGGAAGCAGAGAGAGATGCACCTCCTCACAGACAATGTATATATCCCGAAGCCACTGTCCCACCTCCTCCAGCCCCAACGCCTCCAATCACCACTCAATTAATCCCATCAGGTGATCAATCCACTGATTGGTTTAAAGCTCTCGTAACCTGATCATCTCACTCTAAATCCTCTTGCATTGTCTCACACATGGGCTTTTGGGGGGCTACTGTTAGGGTTTGTAAACAAGTCAAGATGGTGCCTGGCATTTTGCCAGGGGGAGTGGTTTGTGAGGTGGCGCCAGCGAGCCATTAAGTGTGGAGATTCCTTATTGGTTCACTGCTGTATCTAGTTTATGCTAATTAAGATAAGCTGTGTGGAATGTATATATACCCCTCCTGTCCTACAATAAATGGCTCCCACTCCTGCTATATCAATCTACACAAGTTGCTTGTTTGTCACTCCCGCCCCCCCACACTCGGGGGTAAGTGACGAAAAAAAGCTGCCCGTCCATAGATAGGACGGGAGCAAATCTGCTCGTCCCTAGGCAGATAGGGCGAGAGGAAAAATGGCCATTTTGAGAAAATGGAATGGATTGATGCAGTATGTTTGTGTCTTGTTTTGTCTTGAAATGTTGTATTGTCTTTGTGACGAAAATATGGAAGGGGTGTTAAGTAAATTGATAAGGGAAGGAGGCACCCCAGTGGAACCAAGAATAGTTAGGGCACGTGTTGATGGAAGCCCAGGAACTCTAGTCAGAAAGAAAAAGAAAGTTCAGAAGAAGAAGGATTATCAGGAAAAAAGTTGCAGCAAAAGGCTATTACTGAATACTTTTTGTTACCGGAGGGTGCGTGAATCGGCGCGGCGGCTGCCCGTGTGCGAGCCGGTCATGGCGCAGCAAGGACTTTCCAAGCGGTGGCAGCCGGCTCTTCCCCGCCCCCCACCCGGGGAGCGGGATGCCACTGCGAGAGCCCAAATCCAAACCTGACCCGGAGGCACAGTCTCGCAGGCTCTTGCTCCCTGTGCCCAAAGGCAGTTTGAGTCGGGAACACTCCCCAGACTCTCCCCGGGGCCATCTGGGGCTGCCCTGGACGCTGCAGGCGGAAGCGGCCCTTGTCCCTGAAGTTTGATCATTTCCAAGGCCAATAACTACAATGGTTCTCCCACACCTGGAAGCTAATGAGTAATGAGCACTATTAAGGCTTATTTCAAATGTAAAAAACCTTGAGATAATGACTAAATTGTTCAAAAGGTTGTTTTCTTAGTGAAATACTACAGGATTTTCTTTAGCATCATTGCCGGAGTTCCTGCCTTTGTACCAGTGCCAGTGAAGACGAAGGTGGAAGAATTTCCAGTGTTGCTGAGAACCGGACGAAACTTCGGATCAAGCTAGCTGCCTGCAGAACTTACCTGGACTGTGATTTACCTGGACTGTGAGTTAATCTATTGAGACACTGCTTTACCTGGACTGAGACAACAAACTATAATCTACAACAAATTGTAACTGTATCTTTGCTAATGGTGTCATTGCTGGTATAATTTTTCCAAGGACTTCTTGCATGGAGCCATCAATTGGCTTGGTATTGTGGCATTTTGTATCCTCTCCTTCTGCTTGTAGCAGATTATTTATGGTGTTTGGGTAAAAACCACTATGGTCGTTATTTAAATTAAACAAAAGGGGGAAATGTTAGGGTCTGTAAACAAGTCAAGATGGAGCCTGGCATTTTGCCAGGGGGAGTGGTTTGTGAGGTGGCGCCATCGAGCCATTAAGTGTGTAGATTCCTTATTGGTTGACTGCTGTCTCTAGTTTATGTTAATTAGATAAGCTGTGTGGAATGTATATATACCCCTCCTGTCCTACAATAAATGGCTCCCACTCCTGCTGTATCAATCTACACAAGTTGCTCGTCACCCCCCGGTTATTTTGCTGCAGCCGGACTGTGGCAGGCTACCTTATATCTAAACCATGACCTCTCCCTCTTACAAGCGAGGTCGAGGAGGCCAGCAGGGTTGGGTCACATGCCAACGGTCACACGGGGGCTTGAGCAGGTGCGTGGACGCCAGAGTCTGCTGGACTCAGAAGCATTTCCCTCCATTTCGCCACGCCACCACTCCTGGCCCCGCACAGGGTCTCTGGTGACGGCTGCTTCTTGGTTGGCCCTCGTCTGGCTTCTTCCTATCTCTTGGGTCATTGAATCCACCCCGAGGGATAAGTGTTCTTCTATTTTATGCTCTGAACCCGTTGGGTGGGGCCTGGCAGGGACGGGTTGGTCCCCTCAGAAGGGGGTCAGTAAGAGGGGTCTTACCAGAAGGGCCTTACCCGAAGAGGGCAGGGTTCTAGGTCAGCTGGAGCTCCTGGCTGAGGGAGCAGGTTTGGGGACTGGCTATGGCTCACAGAGTGGCTCTCTAATGGGGCCACTGGAGCAGGGGGACCCAGCAGTGGGGGCCAAGAGAGGGCACCAACCTCCCCCCCTTCCTGCCCTGGGATGTCCTGCTGTGCCTCTCCCTGGCCAGCCCACGGGCCCACTCCACCTACTTCAGTGAGGCACAGGGGAGACAGCAGAGGCCAGGCCTGCGGGGTGGTGGGGGACATGAGTGTCCACTTCAAGGCCACACCACCCATCCATTCACAGCCTTAATCAGCCCCCCAAGTTACCCATGTGTTTCAAGTCGGCTGCAGATTCTCCATTGCGCTCCTGTGAGCACTGTATCTTTAACATCCTCTCTGGTTATTTAGGGATTTCATAAAAGCACCCCATTCTGTCCTGAGGGCTCCTGCCTCTGGATTTCAGCTGGACCTTCTCAGCCCCAGAAGGTTCTATGGCGGGTGTACGATTTGCTTCCATGTTTTGTCCATCTAACCTGGTGCCCAACAGTAGAGATGTAGCTTCAGCCTTGAGCACAGGCCACATGCAGAGTGTAAGATTTGGGGGAGAATCACATTAAGCATGTAGAAAGGAACAGGTGCCATTCACTTTATGGCATATGTTATTTAACGTGGAGACCCCAACACAGCCACGTAGAGTCATATGAAGAAGCGAGGTGTTCACGCTCTGCCTCAAGCTGTCTTTGAAGCCTGCTGTGTGTTGCCATGACAGTGCCACTGTCCTCAGGTGGGCCACCATCCAGCATCCGGCAGCCCCACATGGCTAGGGCCAGCAAGGTAGGGACCCTGCCCCTGCCTTCCAGGGTGCCCTGACGCCTGGGTCTACGCAGGGCTCTGGCGCCCACCCTGCCTGCTGCACAGGGTGACACAGGGCAAGCCCAGACAGGACCTGGACACACAGCCTCGGCCGCTCGGGAAACGGACCAGGCCACTGAGCGAGGGCAAGCACCATGGTGGGCTGGGTCCAGAGACCTCCCTCTTCGAGGGGAAAGTTGTAATTAGAGAATTAACTCTCTGCATCCCTACAAGAATCCTCCAAGCCCTCCCCAGAGAGCAAATGGGGGCTAATTCTCCCTGTACTCCACAGCAGGTTTCGGGTAGTGGGAATCTTGTGTTCCTTGGAGTCAGGCAGGGCTGGATCTCAGTCCTGGCTGTCATTTCTGAGCTGGGTGAGCCTGGGCAAGGCACTTGACCTCTCTGAATTTCACTTAGTCTACAAAGTATGAAAAACATACCTGCTCTTTGTGGGGCTTATGAGAGTTAATTGAATGAATGTGTCTAACATATACCCACACCCCAAAGAAGCCCAGCAGGTGGTGGCTACTGTCCTGCTGTGGTAAGAAACAGGTCAGAGAATAAAGAAGACAAAATGTATGTTAGACTGGCCTCCTGTATCTTCTGAAGACCAGCACAGATCCTCCAGGGCCCTCAGGGGTGAAAATGCCGGGAAGCAGCCCCGGGGTGAGCAGAAGCCCTTGGTTCAGGAGTGACGACTTGTGCAGAGGGATGTGTCTCCACTGATGAGTCACTGATGAGGCCTGGCGGCTCCGGGCAGCAAGTGGAAGCAGCAGCTGCCCACTCCCCAGGCTGTTCCCGCGCTTCTGCACCAGAATGGAGCCTCAGGCCGCAGGCGGGGATCAAGCCAAACTGCAGGAAAGAAGAATCAGGGTGTGCAGGACAGGCGTCCACCTGTCCCCTCAGACGGAGAGATGCCCGGCAGGTCCAGAGCCCAACCGCCCACACTGGGAGACATCAAGTGGCTTTGCCTTTTTAATCACGTGGGTGGACAGATGCCAAATGCCCATTTAGAAATTACAGGACGATCACTGATGTGGGGAAAGAAACCAGTCCTGACTTACAGGGAGAAATCAGCTTCCTGTGGTTTTAATGAAATAAGAAAAACAGACAGGAAACTTGATTACAAAAATATGACAAACAACGGGCCCAAATCTGCAGGCTTATGTCATGGGCGATAAAGGGGGAAGGGAGACCCCGCAGAGAAGAGAGAAAAGCTAGAGGATGTAAAGAGAAGGGTCTCGGGACCATGGAGTGGCTTGCACTCACGCTTCCCGCGACACCCAGGTGCTCTCCTTTTCCCCAAAGGGCAGGAGTCCAACTCCAACTGACAGGAGAATCACCCTTAGCACAGCCATAATCAATCCAGAGGCTCCCCAAGAAACTCAAATAGAGCCACCAGAAACCCAGCATCCCACTGCCCGGTGTTTACCAGAAGAATTGAAGCAGACACTTCAGAGACAGACACATGCCGCGGCTATCACAGCACGGTTCACGCCGGCCCTGTGGGGACCAGTCCAGGTGCCTGTGGACGGACGGATGGGTAAAGAAAACAGGGCACATATCCAGGATGGAGCCTCACTCTGTCATGAAGAATATAAAATTATGTCATTTGCAGGAAAATGGGTGAATTTGGAGAGCATCATGTTAAGTGAAATAAGTCTCAGAAAGACCAGTGTGGACGTGGACATGGACGCTAGAGGGGAAAATGAGAAAAGGTTGTGGTGAAGGTAGAAGGGAGCCCCCGGGGCAGAGGGAGGGATGGGAGGAAGGCAGGAGGGGGCGGCTAGGGGAGGGGAGGGAACAAAACTGGTCAGAATATGTTCTGTGCATGTATGATGAGACCCCTCCCTGTATAATTAATATGCAATGATGGAACCAATCTATTGTTTTATCTTGTATAGATCAAAGTACACTATCAGTTTGTAAAGCAAATCAAAATAAGCCTCTACTTGTCTTAAAAAAAATACTCTTTTAAATGTGTTCCCTGGGAGGAGTAAGGGGTCAGCTGTCTTCAGACACAGCCCACTTCAGAGGCTGGGCTCTCGTCGGCCTGCGCTGGCTTCTCTCTCCTCCCCGGTCCCTCCTTTTCCTGGGCGCCCTTCCTCTGCTGACAGCAGAGGCAGCTGAGAGCCCGTGGCGTCCTGCACACACAGCAAGGGCTTCCAGGCCCCTCCCCGTGAGCGCAGGACTCTGCTTTCCCACTGCCCCTGCCCTCTGGGCTCATGGCTAGGGCAGAGAGGGAGGTGAGAGGCGCAGATGGGCTCAGGTTGGGTCAAACACCCGCCTCTGGCTGGGCTGTGCAGGGGGTTTGTGCCCAGCCTCAGCAGACGGAGTGGGGAAGTTCAGCCAGGAGAGAAGGCGGCACCAGGAGAAAGGGGGGGGCAGTTCTCCTGCCCCTGGGACCTTGAGGCCCTTGCCCCTCCCTGTCTCCAGGGCACAGTGTGTAAACTGTCAGCCCCCTCGCTGCCACCTGCTCCTCCAGTGGACTGTCCAAGTAAAGGGACCAAGGACAAAGAGGAGACAGACGTGCCCCTGCCGACCCCATTATCCTCAGACTCTGCATTTGTGAATCTGTGAATCCGCCCTCTCATGTATTTGCACCCCTCATCAGTGCTTCCTGCACCCCTGCAGCCCTGGGCAGGGGGCACTCAACAGCGAAGAGTTACCTATGCGCATTTCCCAGCGGAGGTCCAGCAAGGTGCCCAATGACCTCCTGTCTCAGCTGGGGTACTCTAAGTGCGTCTTCACAGTCTCCTTAGGGCCCTGCTCTTCAGGTTGTTGTCCTTGGGTTGGTGACTTCACTGTTTAAAAGGTCCTCGAGTGTGGTGTTAAGGGCTGTCTAGTGTTCCTGGCTCAGAAGGCTGTGACATGCCTCCTGGGGAAACATGTGAGGTAAGGCCAGTTCAGGCCTGGCTCGCGGTGCTGCCCGCTGTGGGTGCGAGGTCAGAGCTTCAGGAACACCATCACACAGGTGCTCTCAGCCGAGACGTGCGCGGTGCAATACCCTGTGTGGAGGGGTTGGCAAAATGTGACCCAGAGGCTCAGAGGTGCCTCGCCCGTGTTTTTTCTGGAGCAGTGGTTACTGTTCACCAACCCAGTGTTCAACAGTTGGGTATTTGCCAATTCAGGCTTCATGGCGACTTTATAAACACTCCAAATAGGAGTATTGACTGGAACTTCCTCTAGGCCACCTGAGGGCCATTGACTCTCCTGCTGTGAGTCACTGTGTTCTTGTCCTGCCATCTGTGACGTGGGAAGAGATAAGGAAGAGAAAACAAAGCAAATATGCCAAAGACCAAAGGGCCTAGAGAGAAGCAGAGGAGTGAAGCGGAGGAGAGGGACGTCCAGCAGGCAGAGAGGGACGTCCAGCAGGCAGAGAGCGACGTCCAGCAGGCAGAGAGCGACGTCCAGCAGGCAGAGAGCGACGTCCAGCAGGCAGAGAGGGACATCCAGCAGGCAGAGAGCGACGTCCAGCAGGCAGAGAGGGACGTCCAGCAGGCAGAGAGGGACATCCAGCAGGCAGAGAGGGACGTCCAGCAGGCAGAGAGGGACGTCCAGCAGGCAGAGAGGGACGTCCAGCAGGCAGACAGGGACGTCCAGCAGGCAGAGCTGGAGGCTGAGAGGGACTCAGACGCACTGGTCTCGTCACACCGATGGCTTTGGTGGCTTTGGACGTGTCTGGGGTGAGACTCTCATCAGCTTCCAACACGGAGACAGGGCCTTACTCTCCAAGTTGTGCCGACCCGACTGCTCATCCCAGGGGAGCTCAGGGGACGTGCCTCAGGACTTTACAGACGCTTCTGAGCAGGTGAAGCTGTCTATTAGTAACCCCTGCGTGTTCAGGAAATTCAGAGTGGTGAGAGAATATGTACAGATTTAAATCATAACTTTTGACTAGATGTCTTCTTATTCTCTATCTCGACATCAAAAAGTTCAGCAAGAGGAGTAAGGGGCTGCCAGGGGGTTCCACGGTTCACACGGATGCTATCTTCAAAGGAGGGCTGGTCTGTGAACTGGGAATGAAGGATGACAGCCGTGCATGATGCTCAAACGCTCGGCTGGAGAACCACGTTCAGGAACTTCCAGCCGTCGGTTATGCGTGTCACAGGACAGGGAATCCACTCACCAGACCGTGGGGTGATGCCGGCATGGATTCTGCCCTTGCTGATCCTGCCACACCCAACCCACCCGTGCACAGTAGCAAGGTGCACTCTGCCAGGAGAGAGCCCTCCTCCAACAGTTCTCTTGACAAGTACATAAGTGAGCCATGCCAACAGGTTATCATTGAAATATTATTTACATTTCCTAAGTAAATGCACTTTCATCTGAGTCCCTGCTCTTGGAAACTGTGATTCCAATGGATAAATTTCAGTACCTTAAAGACTGTCCTTTATTAACCCCCGAAAACTGCCGACTATTGTTTCCAGACTTTAACATTTATTTAAGACTTCATTTTACCAAGGAGTTTTGAGAGCTTTGCATAAGTATGAATGGAAAGTTTACCAGACAGCCCTTTAAAACTTAAAATGGGTTTTCAAGCGTTCTGGGCATCATCTAGCTAGTTGGTTGATCCGTTTGCAGTTCCCTGCTGACATGCCCAGAACAGCAGCCGGCCTTCATCTCAGTTGTCCCTGGGCTGGTTCTCTGAGACTTCACCTTTGCTTCAGTTGAAGATGCGGTTGGCTTTATTTCTGGAATGACCATCTAGATCAGTTTATCAAAATCCTTTTCCCAAAGTGAATCTTGTTTTTCTGGTGCATCGGTGTTAGGAATGGCAGGCATTTGGAAAAATACTTCTGCTGAGTTGTATGGGGTTAAGTCAGGTCACAACACAGTCTTCACGTCATGCATGCGGCATTTGCAAGACTGGGAGGAGACTTGTGATCTGCCGGAGACGTCGGTGATAATTTCCTCCTTCATTTACTTGTTTTTTCTGTATTGTAATCTTTTGTAAAATGAGCAGAAGTCACATTGAACACAGAAATAAATCTTTGCTTTCTTTTCAGAATGCATTCCAGGGAGGTCAGAAACTGCGACCTCCTCTACCAGCTGCTACCTCCCCTACCCAAGTCCCAGTGGGACCCTCCCATGGGAGGATTGGGCTCCTGGCCAGCCACCTGTTTGAAGCTCTAAGAAGAATGGTCCTACCTGTGGCTCATGGGTTGTGCCCCACCCTTCCTTGGAGCTGGATTTTTGTACCCCAAGGGCCACCCTGGATGGCTGCTGAAGCCCTGCCTTGTTTTTGAGCATCGTTGGGAAGCCAGGTGTGACGCCCACCTGAGCATTGACCCGGACAACTGCGGCCAGTGTGAGCGGGCTCTCAGAACAAATTGAAACATCCTGAGATCTGACCATGGCCTTCTTGACTCATCATTCCTCAGGCCTTTGTCCTATGAGCAAATCCACCATGAGATGCAGGCTCTACCGCGGGCCCAGGCCTGGCCTGTGAAGTCCAGTGGCTTCCCTGAGGGCACAGCCCTGCAGCTCTGGCCCATTTTAATTAACTAATCTTATGTGCATGCACTTAGAGAACAACATAATAACACGCACCCATCTCCAGACACAGCAGCTCTCGGTATTTTGCCGAACTTGTTTTGTGTGCAGCGTGGTTTCCCTAGGTGCAAAGCTCATCCTTGACTGTGTGCTTTCTTGCTTTAGTATCTGTCTCTGGAGATTGAGCAAGGGGAGGTCTCTGAGCATCTCCTGCTGACCTTTGTTGTCCCATCAGTCCAGTGTGATTGCCAGCCCAGCGGGAGATTTCTAACATGGTAGCAAGGATGTGTCCCCTTCCAGCCCCTGTAGGTGTTCAGGGAATCCCAATGATCCCCCTTATTTGGATGGTCAGTGTTTCTTTCCCAGACTCATGTAATCCCAGCGATTTCCTGGTAGGGAGACCAGCAATGCTGGTCCCAGCAACCTGGCTGCTTGTCATCACGATTAATGCTACGTAAACCAAACTGTCTTCTTCTTCTTCTTTTTTTTCTTTTAAATGGCTTTCTTTATATTTATTTATTTTTATGTGGTGCTGAGGATGGAACCCAGTGTCTCTGACTTGCTAGGCAAGTGCTCTACCACAGAGCCACAACCCCAGCCCACCAAACTGTCTTTAATTTCAGTGTTCCTTACAAAAATCCAAAGTTAATTATTGACTTGTGTTCAGACACTGGCCTCGGGAACATGAACCAGTTATTAAGAATGAATGCTAAAGAACCTCAACTGTCAAAGCTCAGGAGAAAACAAAGTCCAGGGTTTTGCAGCTGGTCTTGGAACTCAAACTGTTGGCTGAGGGTTACTGTCCAAACTGGCCAAGGAGGTCTTCACCACCTGCTGGTTCTCTCTCTAGTGTTCAGTTTAAGTACCAATCTGGGGGCAAAATTAAGTAAGACAGAGAAAATGACCATTTTGCTTGCCATGTGAAATGAAAATTTATTCTGCCTTGTATTTGCTATCAATTGCCACATTAATGTTGTACAACAAAATAACTCCCCAAACTTCAACACACAACAAGAGCTATCTTTTCTCATGTGCATCCAGTCAAGTTGGGGTTAACCAGGTGGATCTGAAGACACATCTGAGGGGGCCTGGCTGCTGCTGACCCAGGCTGGCCCTGGTTTGGGAGAGCAGGACAGTGTAACTGTACGCTGTGTGCCTCCTGTCCCCTGGCAAGCTACTCCAGACAGGTTCTCGTAGTAGTGGTGCAAGTGTCGGAGGGCAACGGGAGCATGCAAGGCAGCACAGGCTCTGATTTGAAGCTGGAATTCTGCCCTGGCTGCCTGCACCCTTAGTCAGAATGTAGGCTGGCACTCACCCTCAGTGGGTGGGAGGAGGCTGCAAATAACCTGCAAAAGCAGGAAAAGATTGGGACCATGAATGCAGTCAACTTATCACACCTCGATCCAGTAAAGTCAACCTCAGACTTGAAAACTGATTTTTTTTTTCTCCTAGGAAGGTAGCTGGGGGCTTTCTTTGTTGTTGGGGAGAACATCAGCTTTGAAGTCTGACATCTGGAGTTCAAAGGCAAGGTCCCCCAGGTCCTGGCTGGTGGCCTTCCACGTATTACAGACTTCCTGGGCCTGTGTCCATGCATGGGAAGCAGGGCTGCTGTCCACTCTTGACATGCTGTTGTGAGGGGTCGAATAGGGGGTGCTTGGTTAGGAATGACATGCTGTGGTTGCAAGGTCTTCTCTCAGGGGACAGTGTTCCTCCTAGTTCAGACAGGGGGACTGGCTGCAGCCCAGATAGATTCAGAGTATAAACTGGAGAATGCGGTTTCCCACAGGGTACTAAGTGCTCTACGTGGCATCTCCTTAACCAAGGTCAAAGTGACTGCCCCCTTCCTGAAAGAAGCAGAGGAATCTGATACACAAGTTGAGGCTGCATCGGGGTGAATGCAGAAAAAATGGTGGCATGTTCTTCACCCTTAAAAAGAGAAGGAAATCCTGCCATTTGTGACAACAGAGGGGGACCTGGGGGACATCACGCTAAATGACGTAATGCGGGGCACAGAAGACAAGCCCTGCTTGAGTGCTCTGCTCTGTAGAGTCCTACCAACTTAGGCAATCACTCAGGTAAACAATTCCTTTCATATATGAAAAGGTTCTTAACTTTTTTGTATTTGTGTGTCCATTTTTGTGTGTTTCATCTTTTAATTGACTTAATCTTTTCCCAATATAACTTCCTATGACCCAGCAATCCCACTACTGCGTGCATTCAAAGGAAATGAAGCCAAGATCTGAAGAGAAGTCCGCGCCAGTCCACGGCAACAGTGTTCTCAACAGCCAGGAAGGGAAAGCACCCGGTGAGTGGAGAGAGGAAATGTGAAAGGCTGCCCTGGAAGGCTGGTCGGACACGAGAGAGCGTGGAGCTCTGCCATTGACCACAACCTGAGCCAGGCACAGAAAGAAGGAGCGCACGATCTCACCCAGGTGTGGGCCTGCAGAGTGGACATCATGGAGATAGACAGCGGAGCGCTGGTGGCCAGAGGCTGGGATGCTGGGGGAGATGAGAAGGTGGTGGCTGAAGAAATGACCCAGGTGGACAGAAGGAATCAATGTGGTGACTGTGGGGAGACAGGTAGCATCCTAGGAGGACGTGAAGAGAGTGAGGAGGTTCTGCGCCCGCTCCATGAAGGTGACAGCCACCACACTGCGTAGATATTTCAAAGCATGTTGTGCACAATGAAAACACACAGTGTCGTCTATCCATTTAAACATAAATAAGCGCTCCACTGGGCTGGAGCTGGAGTGAAGTCAATTGTAACTTTCCTTCTTGGTCACACCCTTGTCAGGTTTGGGGATCAAGGTTATGCTGGACCCATAAATGAGTTAAAAAGTGTTTCTCTCTTTTTTTTTTTTTACATTTTCTGGCATAATTTGCAGAAAAGCAGTATTTTTTTTCCCTGAAGAATTTAGAAGAATTTATTGGTGATATCATTTGGGAGCAGAGTTTTGTTTTGTTTTTGTAGATAACTTAAAATTTATGGATTACATTTTTTAAGTGACCAGAAAAAATACTTCCTATTGATTTGGGTCTGGGTTTTCTCCTGGAAATTTGTCAACTTTTTCCTTGGTTTTTAACTACGTTGGCATGACATTGTTTTATGACGTTCTGTTGAGATGCTCTTAATGTCTTGAGAAACTTTGGTGCTCTTCTCCACTTCCTGATGTGTGTGTGAGTCTTCCTCTGGCCTCTGTTTTCTTCTGGAATGCTGTAGGCCAGGTTCATCAATTTCATCAATATTTTCAAAGATTTAGCTTTGTCTTTATCAATTCTCTCTTCATTTATTTTTATTTGGCTAATTCCTGCACTTTTTATTACTTCCTTCTTTTATTTTTTCTTTGTTTAGTTTGCTATTCTTTTTCAGAACTTCTTGAGATGGATCTCTAGCATTGATCTTAAACATTTCTTTTTTTTTTAAAGAGAGAAAGAGGGAGAGAGAGAGAGAATTTTAATATTTATTTATTTATTTTTTAGTTTTCGGCAGACACAACATCTTTGTTTGTATGTGGTGCTGAGGATTGAACCCGGGCCGCACGCATGCCAGGCGAGCGCGCTACCGCTTGAGCCACATCCCCAGCCCACATTTCTTATTTTTTAATACATACATTTAAGGCTGTAAGTTTCTCAAACTAAGCATATCCTAAGTCGTCACGTGTGAGTTTTGATCTGTGGCATTTTAAAGACCATTTGATTTAAAACATTTCCTGATTGAGATTATAACTTCTTTTTTTTCCACTGGTGGATTGTCTAGAAGTATTTGCTCATTTCACAAGCAGGTAGGAGTCCAGTTCTCTCTCCATTCCTGTTTTTCTAGCCTGAATGCACCATGGACAGAAAACATACCAGATGAGTTAATTTGTTTGAAAATTGGAACCTCATTGGAACCTCACTTTGTGGACTCTGTCAATGTGGTGACAGGTTCCACATGAACTTGAAAAGAATATGCATTCTGCAGTTGCTGGGAGGAGAGAGGTCCAGTTTTTGGTTAGCCTTGCCCTGTCCATCCCCTTCCTGATCCGGAGATGGTGCTCGATTGTCTCCTGGCTGCTGAGCAAGGTGTTCCATGGTGACCGTGCACATCTCCTTTAGTCTGTCAAGTTTTGCTTAATATTTCAAATCCACACTCTTTGGCATATTCAAACTTAAAAGTCTATGTTTTCCTGGCAGGCTCAACTTTCCTCATTTGAAAGAGCTCCACTGTCCTCTAGTAACACTCTCGTGGTGTAAAGGCCACGTGTAAGTGGCTGTGGGTATTGGCATGTCCTTGGCTTCCAAAAGACAACACATCACCTGTGCTGGTCATGGGGTTGAGATGCTTCATTGCTGGACGTCAGTCCTCACCTAAGCCAGTCAGTCTCTGGTCTATTCACCTTTGCTGCTAGGGTGCCGTACTCAGGATCCCAGTTGAGAGCCTGATGTGCTCCTTCCATGTTGGACGCAGAACACTGACTTTTTTTAATATCTATTTTTTAGTTGTAGTTAGTTAGACACAATATGTTTATTTTATTTCTATGTGGTCCTGAGATCAAACCCAGGGCCTCACATGTGCTAGGTGACCGCTCTACTGCTGAGCCCCAGCCCCAGCCCCAGAACACCGATTTTTGTCTCCTGCTCAGGTGGAACATCTAAAGGCTCTGCTAGGATCGCCAGCGCTCAGCCTTGCTGGAGAGGAGAGCTCGGCCTTTGGAAGAGATTGGTGCACCCCAGATGCTGGGCTGGCCTCCCAGGCGCAGAACTTCCGCCTCCTCTGGAGCCTGCCATCTAATTTGACCAGTCAGGCTGGATCACTGGAAAAGGCTGGCTCACATCCAATCCCACTTTTCCTCTTTTAGTTGTTTAAATTTACATTTCTTTTTTTCTGATTCCAACTAAAAAATTGAGGCAATCGTGCTTCTGAGCTTTGAGGTTTTTCTGCTCGTATTTGCTTGTTCATGTTCTTTTTTCACTGTGTCCTATATTGTTACATTTTCCAAGTGAATTTAGAAGCATTTCTTACATATTCTACGTGTGCCTCTCTTGACAGTTTCAGCCATTGCAATTTTGTCATCTAACAATTTGGTGCATTTTATCCTTCCTTGAATACAAATCCTTTGTTTTAATGTGATGAATTTTATCGATTAGTTTCTGCTCTTGGAGTCTTGTTTCAGAGGGACATTCCTGACCCATCTCATGAGATATTATGCTAGTTTCTTCTATTAACTTTATAATTTTATCTGTCACATTTAAAAAAATCTGAATAGAGTCTGCTCTCACACGTGGTGTGGCATAGACATCTAATTTAATTTTTTTCCTGGAGTGAGCCACTTTTCCCAAGATCATCTGCTAAATTTATCCTCCCCTGTGCTGTGTGTCACTGATATGCATTACATTCCCACAATGCATGTTTCCCCTGCGCTCTCTGTTCTGCCCACTCATCTATTTGTCTATCCCAGACTCGGTGCCGGATTCCCACGACCTGGAAGTATGGCTTCATGTCTATTAAGGAAACTCATCTGTTTCTCTTTTATAAGATTGACTTAAATGTTCATGGATTTTTATTTCTTTATATATTTAAAAAATAAGTTATTGAGCTTCTAAAAAAATCTGAGTGAAGTTTTGTTTGGGATCGCACTGAATTTATGTAGCACTTTGGTGATAACCGACACCAACATAACAGTATATTGTCTTTTTGGCAGCAATGTTTTAAAAAACTCCTTGGGTTTTCTAGGTAGGTGATCATTCAGTGTTGGCTTTTATCTCTTCCTCTTTAATTCTTATGCTCTTTGTTTTCTTTTCCTTGTTCTGTTGCCCAGAACCTCTGACATTATCTAGTACTAATAAAAATGGGCATTCTTATCTCGTTGTCTTAACAAGAAAAGTGTTCACATTTTTTTCATTGGAAATGTAAGATTGAAAGTGTTTGGCACAAATCTTTGTCAAGTTAAGAAAACTCTCTTCTCTCAGTTTGTACACATATGGAGCATTACTAAATACATTTTCTGTATCCACTGAGTCACGTTTCTTCTTCTCTTTCTTCTCCTCTTCCTCCTTCTTTTTCTTCCTCCTGCCCCTTCTTCTCCTCCTCCTCCCTTTCTCCTCCTCCTCCTCCTCCCCTTCTTCTTCTATGTATTATTGTTCTGAGTCACTGCCTGAAGCCACCTCCGGACCCTGCAGAGTGGCTGCATACAGCAGCATTCTTTCTTTAGTAAAGATCGGGACATGCAGTTTGGTTGACTGGCTTGGATCATTTTTATTTTTTTCCCCCAAGTTTGCAACATTGAGGGCTCTGCCACCTGGAAGACTGCCCTTGACATTCTCTCAACCATTGTCATTTTTAAAAAGTCATACCATTATCTCTCTGTCTGAGAATATTTGAGCAATTACCCTTACAGTTAGTATGAAGGAGAGGTGCAGGGGAAGAGAGACGTGAGGTGTAATCAGGAGGGCCTGCTCAACCTGTCAGCTCGGCTTCCCTTGTCTCTCCAGGGCTTTCAAAAAATGTGGCTCCTGGAAACTTTGTGCATGTTTCTCGATTACGTGATCCTATTTCCTGAGCCACCCCTCCCAACCTCCCCCAGGTCTCCTTGGCCACCATCACCAGCTCCCACCTTGAGCTCATAAGCTGTATGGATGGGAGACCTGGTGCCACCCAACCAGGCATTCCAAGGTGGCATTCCTCTCCTGGAGACCCTGACTGCCACCAAAACCCACCTGGAGGAGGTAGAAGTACATCTGTGGCTCCTGAGGTCTTTTCCATCTGCCCAGGACTAAATCTAAAGAGTGGTGAGGTGCCGCAGTCTGGCTGGGCACAAAATCACGAGCCACTCAGAGCCTTGTAGGTTCAAACAGCAATTCTTTATTCCCGAACTCACACCGGCACTCTACAAGCACGTTCTGGGCAAAATCCACACTCTCCACGGGGCTCTGAATCCCAAATACTCTCTGAATCCCGCGAGAACTCAAGGGGAAATCAAGGTGCCTGAGGCAGCAGGATACGCCCTATTCCCAGCAGGAATCACCTTAAACCTGGAACCGCCCTAAACCCCGATCTCCCTAAACCCGGATCCCCCTTAAACCCTGATCCACCCTAAACCCAGATCCGCCCTGGTCCTTGAGCAAGGTCACATTTCATGCAAAGTCACTGCAAATGACCTGGGTCCACAATGGAGAGTCCTTCCTCTAAGCAACAGGGGCTAGGCTGACAAGGAAATTGCCATGTGTCGTACCTACTTAGCTATGGCTCTCAGCAGTGAGGAGCAAGCCCTTTGGTGGGTAGAAAGGACTGCTTGTTGTCACTTGTCCGTCAATGAGGCTGGGAGGTGGTTCACAGGTGTGTTGACCTGTGATTCCTACTTAATGACCCTTTGTCTCACAGCCCCGGTCACCGTCTTTCTCCTGGAAGATGAGTGTGCTTTGTGGCCATGGGAACAGCCTAGGTGTCCTTCCCTTCGGTGAGGACTGTACAGAGACGTCTGGTCCTCCCTCCCTGGTGGGCAGAGAGCCTTCTTTGTCACATTTGTTCCTGCGGCTTTTCCAAGAGAGCAGGACTGTTCCGTGGTTCTGGTCTCCTCTTGTACTAAACCCCTCTATTATCCCCCTCGGACGGTGTTTGATGAAATCGCCTTTGGAGAGCTTTCCTGTGTGTGAAACGCTGGGTGTGTGTCTGGAAACCTCCTGCTGGAGCAGACCCTGCCGGGCACCGGGAAGACTGCTGCTCTGCTGGGGTCACTTCTGGCTGCCCCTTCTGCCCAGCTGCCGAGCAGAACACATCTGGGTGACCAGGGAGTGTCTCCTGGGCTGGCCTTGGGCTTGCTGAGAGGCCTGGTGGATGGGCAGGGGAGTACTGCCAGCCTCAATGAGAGCCTCGCTCTGCAGGCCCTGGACAGCACACCCAACAGGAGAGTGGACTGGCCACCTCCAAGGCCCCTTGCCGCTCCCAAATTTTTATTTAATTTTCTTCATACAACCATGGCTTTAATTTCTGTGGGATGCACTGGCCTCCTGAGGACATGTTCTTGTCACATCATATCATTTCCCAAGGGAGACGTTAAGGCTCCAGAAGCAGAGTTCAAGTCACAGCCATGGGTCCTTCTAGAACATTCTTTCTACAGCTCGATCTGACATGACCTCTGAAAATTCCAAGAGGTCGTTCTTCAGTGTTGCAAAGTAACTTTCTG